CACCGTGCAGCCCCGCCTGGTACCGGAGCCAGGCTGCCGCCCGGACGTGACCCTGGCCTCTCCCCACCAGCTGGTGGCCGGAGTCCTGGGTGCGGTCGGCACGGGGGGGCGGCGCGCTGCGGGCGGCGTGTGCGCGTGGTTACGGGACAGCGCTCCAGGGCCCCGCAGCGGCCGCTGGGGGGAGGGGGGTGCTGAGCCTCGAGACGTGCAGGGGTCGCTGAGGGCCAGCGGGTGTTCTGGGTACCCGGGCACCGCCCTTTGTGTTGGGGGTCTTAGGGCGTGAAGTGCCGTGGTGTAACCGACCTGTAGCCGAGATGTCCCCAATCCTTTGCTGTGGCCCGAGGCCGCTCTCCCCTTCGGTCTCGTGCCCTCCCTGCCTTGCTGCCGCGCTACCAGGACCACTGGGGGTTCCTCTGCGTCCATTCTCGACGGCGGCCATGTGTGCGGGCAAGGACCGGTCCCCCGCCACACACCTTCTGATATCGGAAGGCGGGTCGGGTCCCCCCTGCGCGTCCTGACCCGTGGGCACGCCGCTTCCAGGGAGAGGGCCTTGGCCTGACCTTCGTCCTTGCGAGACGCCGGCCTCGACGGGATTGCCCGGCGCTCTGTGCCTGGCTTCTGAGCAGCCATCGGGGCAGCTCTGGGGGAGGAGGCGCTCTCGCCCCCACGCTGGTTCAGTAGAAGCGCGAGGAACCGCAACCGTTGCTTTAAATCGCTTACTTCTCTCGTGTAAGGAGCGGTTTTCAACGCTAAATATGCCCGGGTGTGCAGACTCCCTCAAGGGAGCGCACACAGGTCAGCACCAGCCCGGTCAGCCCCCAAGGCCCCTTGGGTGTGCGCCTCTGGCTTTGGTGATGGGACCTCAAGGTGGCCCGGCCACACGCCCCCGAGGCGGCGATCGTTTCTTTGAATGTTTGCCCCTATTGTGTGTTCTGGTGCAGTCACAATAATGACTCTGGCGATGGTCACGAGGGACGGGGAACCCGGATCCGATTGCGGAGACGGAGCCCGAGGAACGAGCACCACATCCAAGGATCGCAGCAGGGGCTCCAGCACCTCACTCTCGGCCGCAGACCAGGGTGAGACCGAGATCCCTGTCCTCGGAAGGAGTGCACTTTAGATCCTTCAGCCGAGGACCCCCGGCGGGCGAGTCTGGGGCCAGCAGCCGCGGGGACGGCGGCGCCGGTGACCGGCGCTGTCGAGGAGGACCAGCTCCGTAGCTGGAGCGCTGGGGTCGGTTGGCCGGAGGCAGCAGCTGCTGTCCCCACCCCTTGCCTCTGGGCGTCCCCCAGCTTAGCGTCCTTGCTGGGCCCTGAGGGGTAGTTACGTAGGAACTCGTTCCAGGCCGGCCCTGGATCCCACAGCCGGGTAGCCGTGGCTGCGGGACCGTGGTTTTCTGTGGGTGGTTTCCTGGACCTGAGGCGCTGGTTGACCAGGGGTGGTGGGGGCTTTCGTCTCCTGCCGCCAGAGGCGTGGGCTTCTTGGACGTGCTACAGGACGGGCTGCAGCCTAGAGCGTTTGCCTTAGGTTTCGGGAGGACGGAAGTTGGCGGTTGGAAGAGGAAGAGCCGTCATAGCTGTGTCCTAAATGATGCCCTGTGACAAGGCGGTGGGGGCCTCCCATGACCCACTGAGGCGGCTGCTGGGAAAAGGAAGTCTGCGTTTGGGGCGTGCATGGCTGTGAAGCTGGAACCGAGCCGGATCCGCCTCGGGAGTGGAGCCGTGAACCTCGGGGTCATTAGTGGCGGCGGCGGCGGCGGCGGCGAGCCAGCGCTGGGTGGCGCCCAAGGCCTCCCCCGGGCGGTGCGGGCCCGCGGGTCCTAGAGGCTCGCCGCAGGGGTGCGTCATCGCCCTCCGCGCCTCCCTGCAGCCATCTCCCACGGGGCGTGTCGAGGGCCCCACGTTCGTCTTCTGCGCTCCTGCCACCAGGTTGTCCCCACCCCAGGCGCGTCGTGGCGCCTCGCCTGGCGGGGGCTCCCTTCGCCCCCGTGGTCGTCAGTCTTCGGCTACCTGCCCGGCTCCCGCCCCCGGAGGCTCTCCCCGTTCTCCACGCCTTGGGGCCCTGGCCGGCTCTTCCCAACCCTGAGCCTGCCTGCTTGCGCCCCCCTTCCCACCCTGGTCCCAGGCTCCTCCGTGTGGACCTCCACCCTCTTAGCGGCAGATGTTCTTCCGAGAGAGCGGGGCGGGGGGCGCCACTTGGCCCTCGTCTCCGTTAAGTTGCAGACACTGGTGCCCCCGCCCGCTCCACAAGCTCACTTGCTTTGGAAAGTAGACGATTTCCGTCTGTTTGTCGGTAGGAGGTCTAGAGACGGGAAGGCGCTGGGAAGCCAACCAACCGAACAGCCTAGGCAAATACGGAAGCTGAAAACCAGAACCGAGAAAGTTGCTTAGGGGGCGCCTGGGTGGCTCGGTTGGCTTTACCCCACTCTTGGTTTTGCCTCCGGTCATGATTTCGGTGTCCTGAGGTCGAGCCCCAAGTCCGGCTCTTCACTCAGCTCCTCCCCCCCCCCTCCCCGGCGGGGTTTAATTTTAGGCATCTTGGGTCCAAGTTGTAAGTGCCTGTTTCAGACCTAGGAAAAATTCTATTCCTTTGGATGAAGGTGACTCATCCTGAGAACACGCCTGTATGTTAATAGGCTTCTGCAGGTGCTTAGGCTGTGTTCTTAAATGAGCTTGCTTTTCTGCCATGATGATCCTCTAGTGTATATTGTGCTGTAGTGCTGTATTTGTAATTAAAGTGGTTTTCTGTTTTGAGTTTCTGATAGTGTGGGGACACCCCCCCACACACACACAATGGTCTTAGCACTCTAAACACTTACTCAATGGAGTTGCTGCAAGAAGCAACATTTAGAGTGTGGAAATTAAGAGGTTCAACGACCCTAGTTAACTTCAAATGAGAAGAAAGAATAGCAAAGCCCTTTTTGTTAGGTGATGTGGAACCTCTTTTTTCTGCATCCTGATTTTTTTGGAGTGAGTCAGTTTTTAAAAGCTTGTTTAGAACAACTGAGGAAAGCTAAAAACCCAATGGTGTGGCAGTTTCGTTGCCCCTGAAGATGTGTATTCTCATTCCTTGACCACCTTATGAGTATTAGTTGACCTTAAGGAGCAAGCCTTTGCAAAGGTGGCTCGCGGCCTTTAGCGCCATCTTCTTGGAAACACCTCTGTGCTATGAGAGCCAAGCAGGGAAAGAAATGTTGCAGGATTTTAGCCATAAAAGAAAGAGGAGGCAGAGCCAAGGTAAACTGCTCGCTGGTGCTGCCCGTGGAGCCACAAGACCATGAGACAAGGAAAGCCAGAGCCTGGGATGCTGATACCAATTGTTGGACTGCAGGCCTACTTTTTAGAGCCTGGATTCAATGGAATCTACAACGTCCATGGGCATCGCGTTGCAATGAGACCTGTCTTCTTGCTCTGGATGCCAAGACCTTTTGGTCCTTTGCCCTGGGCCCCTCAGACTTTTGGGACTAATTCTGTTTTCATTTGTGGTTGAATTGGCGATCCATGTACAACAAATCCTCTCCTGTCCTTTGGTGAAGGAAAAAAGACAAAGACTTAGCAAAGGTGAGTTTGAGGAGAGACTGATCTTGATTTTTAGCTGTTTTGCCCCAGGTGCTATAGTCACAGGCGTCCTTATAAATCGCAGGAAGACGGAGACTGCTACTCTACAAAGAAGTTTAACGTTGGTGACTGGAAACTTAAGGTGCTCAACTTTGACGAACATGAGGGGAAAGTGATCTTGAGCCAAGGAACGAACATAAGGATGGAAAAGGTGGGAGAGGTGTGTCAGACAGACATTCCTTCCCCTTTCCAGCATGTACCCTATGAAAATCCACCTATGAAGGGAGAATTTGGGTTTATGGGTTGCAAGGATTTTTAAGGCATGAGAAAATTTTGGTTTCAGAAGTGTAAGTGCCTGTGCCAAAACTTTACCTGCATTTCAGGGGTAGTTGCTGTTTAATTTTAGTGGAACGCTTTTAAGAAACAGTAATTATGTTCGAATCCCCCAAGACCACTCCTCAGTTTAGTGATTCACTAGAAAGGACTGCCAAGAACCCAAGGGAGCATTTTTTGGTTCATTTTTTAGTTAAATTATTTGCATAAGGACAACTTAGCACAGGGAAAGAAGGGTGCAGAGGCCGGGAGACACTGGCCTGGTCTTTCTCACATGGTCATTAGGGAACTGTGTCTACAGTACCTGCTAAGTTCGGCTTGCATGTAACTCGGGGCGGTTTTTGTGTGAGCTCTGTCTTGTGGGCAAGGGGAGCTCTTTTGGCCTGGCCTTTAGGCTCCCCCAGCTAGCTGCTCCAGAGGTCAAGTTGACAGAGGGGTCTAAGCTACACACCACCCAGAAATCACAGGATGAGCACAAGTGTGTGCTCATGGATATGGATGACCCAAGGCCCCAAGTAGTGTTATGCAAGGGCATTTGTTTATCATGGCAGAATGCTCCCAAGGGCTCAGAGGTTAGGTCCCAGGATTTAATGGCAAGTAAATGCTTAAACCTTTCTTTGGAATGTGGAGAGAGATCAAGAGAACTTAATTTATTTGAAGTTTAAATTGATTTAATCCTTTATTTGCATAGTAATATCTTTAAAACTCATCCCTTTGATACATGAGTGCATTTTACTATTTGCTATGTTTGTGTAGCAGTAGTTGCTGAAAACAGACCATTTACTGCCCTTTTTTTTTTTTCCTGGAAACAACAAACTTTATAGGAAACTGAAAAGGACCAGTGGGAGTTATGAAAAATAAAAAGAACATATACAATTGTACCTTCAAGAATTTCCATGGAACATTATGACCCATCAAATGAAGGTATCCACATTCTCTAACAAAAATGAACTGATTTGAGTAAGGACAGCATGAAAATATTCTAATGCACTGCTGCCCAACAGAACTTTCTGTGATGATGGAAATGTTCCATTATCTCTGTTATTGAATACAGAAGCTACTAGCCACATGAATACTCACAATGTGGCTAATGCAACTGACAAACTGAGTTTTTTATTTATACAGTCACCTTTGGCTAGTGATTACCAACTGAACAGCACAGTTCTAATGCGTCATGGGTCAAAATCAGTGGTTTCTTCAGGGGATTTCTCTAATCACTGCTGAGGGGTGTAGACAGTTGGGGGGGTGGAAAGAGAGGAAAGCTCTTAGCAGCTCTATTTAACTACTTAAACAAGTTCTGAAACTCTCCACAGCTTTCAGAGGCAAGGGCTGAGGAAAGGACTCTGGGGCAGACCTGAGTATGCCCTTGAACTCCTGGCTAATGCCAACGTACTGCCCGTTTCTTCTAAAGGCACATTTTGGTAGGCAACTTTCATGCTCACAGCTGGAAATTGGGAAAGATTTAAAAACATTTTTATACGCAGAACTAACCTTAAAGTGTATGTGGCCATCACACTGTCAACAGCACAAACAACTGAAAGTTAATTGGTTTCCTTTTTAATTTTTATTGCACTAGCACAGTTCCAACACTTTTTTTTTGTCTTCATCAGCACTCAGAGCAACTGGAATTGGCAAATATTTACGCAGGGGAGAGGTACAGGTGGCAAACTGTGAATTTGTTAGGGGAAATGCGTAATTCAACCATGGTGACATACCACTACACACCTTTTAAACACACCTTTTAAAACCATTAATGACAAAAAGACTGGAACAAAGGTGACCACGTTTCAATTGGTGAGGAGGAGAGGAAAACCAGAGTAACCACGAGCACTTTAGAGACTCAGGCATTGCACTGCTAGCTGTATCAAAACCCATTTTGAGAGGATTTGTATGTTCACAGTAAGCTTACCTGTGACAGCCCCAGGACACAAACCAGAAAACCCATTTGTTAGGTGAATGGATGAACAAATAACAGTGTATTATGTACCCTTAAGAAGCCAACTTTAAGAGTAGTACCCACATTGGGCGCCTGGGTGGCTCAGTTGGTTAAGCAACTGCCTTCGGCTCAGGTCATGATCCTGGAGTCCCGGGATTGAGTCCCACATAGAGCTCCCTGCTCAGCAGGAAGTCTGCTTCTCCCTCTGACCCTCTTCCCTCTCGTGCTCTCTCTCATTCTCTGTCAAATAAAATCTTAAAAAAAAAAAAGATTGGTACCCACATTAAGATTCCAATGATGTCAAATTCTAGAGAACACAAAATAGTATTTGCCTGGGAGGCCAGACAGAAAAAGGTTTAAAAGATGAAAATACTTATGGTTAAAATTTTACTAGTGTACCAGGTGTTGCATTTTTGTTTTGTGCACACCCATTATTAAGTGACCTTACAAAGTACATTTTAATAAGTATATTGCATGCCAAGCAGAAATGGTTTCACATAAAAATCCGAACCTCTCTTCGGGAAAAGTAGGAATTTGGCAACCCTAGGTTCGATAGCTGCACCTCTAGCATGAGGGGGAGCTCTGCTGTGTACTAGCGGGCAAGCAATTCCACTGGAGCTCACCTGGATAGGTCCAAAGAAACAGGGAGCCCAAGTCTCCGTTGGTCATAAAAATCACATACCTACTGCCTTTGGGGGTCTGGGCTTCTAGTTCTGTTTTCAACTCTCCCTTCCCCCCACCTTTCTTTAACTTGGAGAGCAAGAGGAGCAGTTAGCTCTTAAGGGCCTCAGAATTTCTGCAAGAACCTTACTGTAAACCAGCCATGATCCCTGGAATGTGTAAGCATCACAGTCCCTCCAGTTTGCTGGTTTTTTTCCTCACTGCCTACTGCCCCCAGTGTTTTTGTACTGAATGCGGTTCCTACCTGATGCCTGGAGTCAGGGAGACCAGCCTTCCAAACATGGCTCTCTCTTGGGACCCGAGAGACCTGGGGACATCATGTGACCTCCAAGGTGAAAAAGAGAAGCTGAATCAAAAAACACATGATTCTTACAACTGTCCTCTCAGGGAGACCTCTACACCCACAGAAAACCCTAACATCTGGATTACAAGATTAGTCACACAAAAAGCACTGCCCTGTAGTCTATCCTAGGCGGCTTTGGGGTTGCAATGTAAATCAGGCCAAAACCAGAGTGACCGCTAGCCCGTGCCATGATACGATCTATCCCCACTGAAGCATACAAAGTTGGGACACCCACCAAAGAAACTTGCAGTGACAAATGTGGCAAGGGTCCTGGACAGGTTAGAAAGAACAACATGGCTCCCTACGACCAGCGTGTTCAGACATGTGGTGGTGGTAGGCTTCTGTGTTAAACACCAGGCTCATTCCCTGCTATCTCCACCTCCACTGAAAGGCCTTTCTCCGGTGTGCACTTTCTGGTGTCGAATGAGGTTAGACCTCCGGCTGAAGGCTTTCCCACATTCGGTGCACTTGTAAGGTCTAGCTGGGCTGTGAAGTTTCTGGTGGTCAATCAGAGCAGACCTTTGGCTGAAGACTTTGCCACAGTTGCTGCACTCATGAGGGTTTTCTGGGGTGTGAACTTTTCGGTGTTGAGTAAGTTGCGTGCTCTGGCTAAAGAATTCTCCACATTCACTGCACTCATAGGGTTTTTCTCCAGTATGAACTCTCTGGTGTTGAGTGAGGCCAAAGCTTTGGCTAAAAAGTTTCCCACATTCATTGCACTTATAAGGCCTTACTCCAGTGTGAACTCTCTGGTGCTTGATGAGGGTGGAGCTTTGGCTAAAGAGTTTCCCACATTCACTACATTCATAAGGCTTTTCACCAGTGTGAATTCTCTGGTGTTTAATGAGGCTGGGACTTTGGTTAAAGAATTTCCCACATTCACTGCATTCATAAGGCCTTGTTCCTGTGTGCACTCTCCGATGTTTAATCAGGTTGGAGTTGGAGGTGAAGAATTTTTCACACTCACTACATTTATAAGGCCGTGCCCCAGTGTGAATTCTCTGATGTTCACTAAGGCTGGAGCTTTGGCTAAAGAATTTCCCACAGTGGCTGCATTCATAAGGCCTTTCTCCAGTGTGAATTCGCTGGTGCCGAACAAGTGTGGGTTTGTTACTGAAGGCTTTACTACATTCGCTGCATTCATAAGGCCTCTCTCCAGTATGGACTCTCCGGTGCTGAACAAGTATGTGTTTGTAGCTGAAGGTTTTCCCACACTCATTGCACTCATAAGGCCTTTCTCCAGTGTGGACTCTCTGATGCTGAGCAAGTCTGTATCTGCGACAGAAGGCTTTCCCACATTCACTGCACTTATAGTGCTTTTGTCCGTTGCGAAAAAGCTCTGCACAGCTGGTGTCCTTAGGTGGTGGCCCCTGGCTGTGAATGAGCTGGTGCTGGAGAAGGCCTGAGCTCTCAGGGAAGGGCTTCCTTGGCATGTGCGTTACACAGCTCTTCGCGTTTCTTCCGAGGGGTTTCTCTCCACTGTGTTGCTTCTGATGCTGGTGAACTTTCCTCTGTGTCCCACACAGTTTCTGGCCAGGGTTTGTTCCCAGGTACTCAGAAGGTGATGGTGAATACAAATCACTTTCTGAGTCCAGGCCATGTTCCTGGGTGTAGGCCTTCTGGGTAGAATTTATCTGTGACCCTCCTACAGAAACGTTCTGCTCAGAAGGTGCTGCCTCATCCTCTGTTCCACGCCCACAACCTGAAAGCAAAGAACAGTGACGAGCTTGGGTAGGGGGCTGCCAACCCTCCCCCTGCCTGACACCAGGGGATCAAGACAAAAGGAGCTGGGAGGGGGGGTAGTTTGAAGATGAGGGCTGCATCACAGAACAGGGAGGACTCACCATGCAAAAGACACATGGATGGGGTGTACCATGGGGAGGAGGGGCTGGGTCCACAACTCACATCTTCGGAAATGTGTTCTTGCCAGTGCCTTGGTTATACCAGTGTTCAAGTATTATTTTAAGGGTATGGGTACATACAGATTGTATAACACATTAAGTGTAGCCCAATGTTGGAGAGCACAGCAGAAGGAGCAATGATCAGTAGAGACCCCAATGAAGGGTAGAAGACAAGGGAGGGATATACTCCTAGGTCTCTTTTGAGAGGAAAAATGACAAGTGGGCAAAATGTCAAAACAGGGGAGGAGCCTCTGACCTTGGCACCAAACAGTGTGGAGCCCAGGACATGACATGTCCTGACAGGATTCCCAGCTATGTATCACATCCTCCCCCATTTGGAGTCATGTCTACTTTGTCATGTATGTGGTGTTCTCCCAGTTCCAGTTGGACAACATGGGATCTAGAAGATGGAAGCCTTTAAGGGAAAGACAGGACAGCTAAGCAGGCAGCACTGGTCCAGGGCAGCCAATCCCAAAGCCACCTCAGGAAACAAAAATATCATGGAAATTGTTACTGAAAGAGCTTCAGAACAGGGGGTGTTGAGCTCTTTGTGAAAGCAGGTGTAGCATATATGCCCCAGCCTCAGCACCCAGAAAGAAGAGGAAAGACAGATTAGCCCAGGACACTGGGGTTGGTGTGAGGGGCCTTACCCAGTGATGCAACAAGTGCAAAGACCTCCAGCATCACATCACGGTACAGGTGTCTCTGAGCCTCGTTAAGAAGCCTCCATTCCTCCTGGGAAAAGTACACAGCCACTTCTTCAAAGGTCACAGAGCCCTGGGATGAGGGGGGCAGTTATGTCCATAAGCAGCCTCTCTCTGCAGGACCCCAAAACTACCCCAAACCCCAGCCCACATTCACTCCCATCCCTGCTCATTATCTCCCCTAGCTCTCCAGCTTAAGCAGTGGTACCCAGTTTCAACAAAGAGGCAAGTGGTCAGAGCGATGCCTTCTGAGCTCTGGGCCTCATATGCAGGACCCCCAACCTTTTCCTGCAAGACATATGCGAGTCCCCAGGATCATGCCTCCCAGACATAACCATGTTGGGCCTAGCATTCTCTCAAACTCCTACTCACGGGACCATACCTCCATCATACATCTGATCCCCACCACTACTTAGCCCATAAAACTGACTTCTGTCTGTGTGTGGCATCTAGGAAGTGCTTGCCAAGTGTTGTAATAAATCCCAACCTCCAATGGTCTCAGCCCTGTGTAGAAGGGGCTTCTCCACCTGACCTTGTTCCTGGCTTAGACCACATGCAGATCTAAATACCCTTGGTCACATTCTGCCTCTACATGGCACATTTTGTGTCTTGCCACTTTACCAGGTGTAATCTAGGTCCCAGTAACACACTTTATGTAAGCTATCTTATGACCTCCTGACAGAACCACCACAAAAGCCTGGTTGGGTGAGTGCACAGAAGGGTGATGAAGCACCAGTCTGACCATTATTGCTCTGGTCTCATGTTCGCACCTCTGAAAATCTGGCTACCTGCTGGACTTTCCCCTCCCCACACCTCCCTCTGCATCCCCCATTACTGCTACTCTGTCTTGTCCGTCTTTGTGCCATCTAATCCTCCACAGCACGCCACTATAACCTGAACATGCCTCCTCCTATATGAGATCCAGAGTTCTAGCTTGGGATACACAACAGATGCCGCAGTGTGGACGTCTTGAGAAATGCATGACCAGCTGTCCATTTGTCACCTATACTTGGGAGTCTCTGAAACATTTGAGACTCAACATGGCCAAAACCTAATTCCTTGATATTCTCACCAAAAACCATGGAGCCATCTGTGACCTGGTCAGCCCTACTTTAAAAACAAATTCAGGGGCACCTGGGTGACTCAGCAGGTTAGGCATCTGCCTTGAGCTCAGGTCATGATCCAAGAATCCCAGGATCAAGCTCGGCATCAGGCTCCCTGCTCACTGGGGAGTCTGCTTCTCCCTTTGACCCTCCCCCCCCTTGTGCTCTCTCTCTCTCAAATAAATCCTTAAACCAACAAATCCAGGGCACCTGGGTGGCTTAGTTGGTTAAGTGTCAGCCTTCAGCTTGGGTCATGAGCTCAGGGTCCTGGCATCGGGCTCCCTGTTGGGCAGGGGAGTCTGCTTCTCCCCCTCCCTCTGCTTGTGTGTTCCCTTGCTCACTCTCTCAAATAAAGAAATCTTAAAAACAAAAAAACCCAAAGACAAATCCAGAAGCCAAACAGTTCTCCTACCTCCACATCTACCACTTTAGCCCAGCTACCAATCCTGATCCAGCCTCGTTAATGATCCCCAGTCTGTGGTATACTCTATCACCAAGGGCAGCTTCTCAAGACCTGAGCCAGATTCAGTTTTCTCCTCTTCTCCAGAACTGTTTGACCGCTACCATCACTCTCAGAACAGAACCCTGACTCGGCTCCCGGCCCTCTGTTCTCAACAGACATAACAGAGACCTATGAGACCTAGAACACTCCCCTGAACGCTCTCATCTCAGTCTCACCTCCAAGCCCAAGGCTTTCTACATACTGATACCTAATACACCTTTCACACCTCACCCCGTTGCTTGCCAAAAGTGGGCATCTCTCTCCATATAACCTCTGACCTGGGCTTAGGGGCTTATCTAGAGTCTTGAGACACCAGGGGCAGGAAGAGTGGCAGCAAAAGGGTTCCAGGACACCTGACACTCACCGGTGCAGGGTCCATAAGTGCTTCTGCTGAAAGCAGAACCTGCAGGAAGAGCAGGGCCATGTTAGTTTAAGTCCCATGAGGGATACAGACAAAGTGAAACACTTCATGTTATTTCACGTAGATGAAAGCTGAAGGGGATAAAGCAAGCATTTATACAAGAAAGTAGAAAGTGTTACGGAGTCATGCCAAAAGCATGTGTGCATCTTCAGAAATGTCTGTCTTGGGTTGTGTTGTGTTTGAGGAACATCCCTTATGCGAATGAGCAACAAGAATAAGAGCGAAATTATGTCCAGGTTTATGTGTGGGTGTGCTTCTGAACCTTCCATTTTATTCCTTATTATTCTGATTCTTCTTGTGCCAAAAATATGTTCTTCTCTTCCTATACCTTGTAGTTGGCTCTAATAGCTGGTTAGGTATGTGACTCCTTATACTTCTTTTTCAAGTTTGTCAATAAATGTTCAGAAAGATATTGCAAATATATTTTCTCCTTTGGTACAGAACTAAACCAAACTCCTAGTTACTTGATTACGCCCTCGAAATAAATCTCTGCTAAAGAGGTTGTCGCTGGGGCTCCAGTAAAGGTGCTTAGGGCAACTGCATTTCTGACTGTTTCAACTTAAGAGAAAGGGAAGGAAACAAGCTAGGACTACCTAACCTCTGTTCCATCCTCATTATATAAAATTCTTTGCTTTGAAGCATTACTTTCTATCCTTACAATGATTGAATTTCTGTCTATCTTAGCAAACTACCTTAACTGAAATATCCCATCATCATGTTCTCTTGGAGTAATACCAAAGGCAGATGATGAAAGAGTATAACCACTTAAAAAGCAAAAATCTTGTGAGTGTTGAGTATAAAAGTTTATGGTAATGTTAAGTGTGTGTTTAAAAAGATAACATTAGTAACGTAGCACAAAGATTGGTCAGAAAGTGAAAGTTAGTTTAAGCACAATAATTTTAATAAATCTAAATCACAATTTAGGAAAACTGCATCATTAGACAAAAAGAATCTCAAAAACAACAAAAACCCAGCCAAACAAAGAATATATCCATAAAGGGTAAGATTAATGAGAAAGGAAGAACAAATCTTGACAATATTCCGAAGAGTAACCAAAACAATGTGGAGAAAAGTACACACACCTAGATTTCATAACAAACTGGAGCCACAAAACCCAAACCCAACACTACTAAAAGATTCAAAGCAACCAAAGCCAAAACCTTTACCTTATACATGTTATTAAAGGATGCCAAGGGGCACGTGGGTGGCTCAGGTCATGATCTCAGGGTTGTGAGATCAAGCCCCACATGAGGCTGCTTGGGATTCTTCCTCCCCTCCCGTTCTCTCCTTCCTCCCCTCCCCCTGCTTCATGCTCTCTTACTAAAATAAATACATCTTTAAAAAAAAAAAAAGGATGCCAGGATTGGAGGAAATATTCAAATAGGAAAAGCCATTAAGGTCCTGGAAAGTAAGAGGGAACAAAGCAGAAACAATGTGTGTTTCACCATAAAAATGCATGCTTGGTGTGACTGCAAATACAAAGAGTAATTGTTCCCAAAGAGGTGATAACATTATAAAGCTGTTCCGGTAAGAAAAGTATTGGCACAGAAATTAGGTTGAAAAAACTAGATCTCATCAAGTGGGGCACCCATGGGTCTTGATGCTTCAGTGGCAGTATGGAGCATTAAAATAGCTTATAAATTACTCTGTGTGGCAAAACAAATTTAGACCTCCACTTTAAATGATGCACACACAAAAAAGTAATTCCAGCTGGAGAGGCTTAGATGGGAAGACAAAAGTTACATCTGAGTTAATAAATGAACAGATTTCTCAAACCAAAGCATCGTAGTAAAGAATCCCACTACATTATAATAAAACGGCTCCTGACTGGGCACCTGGGTGGCTCAGTTGTTGACTGTCTGTCTGCCTTCAGCTCAGGTCATGATCCCAGGGTCCTGGGATCGAGCCCCGCATTGGGCTCCCTGCTCCATGGGAAGCCTGCTTCTCCCTCTCCCACTCCCCCTGCTTGTGTTCCCTCTCTCGCTGTGTCTCTCTCTAAATCTTAAAAAAAAAAAAAAAGGGCTCCTGTTGTCATAAAAACTGAAATGACAAGCCACACAGGTGAGCAAAAATTACACAAATTCTTGAATCCTCCATAATTGTTAAAAAAAATCTAAAATTTTAATATCTAATGAATTGAAATCTTGGGTATGTAAACAAGAATTCCAGCAAGCACTTTTTAAAAATACAAACGTAATGGTAATCATTAAAGCAAAGCTCAGTAAGGCTGACCTCGCAAGCCTGACACTGGCCCAGTGCTAGTAACACTGTAGAAATTAGTAAATACTGTAAGCTGCTACGGGTATATAGATTGGTAACATTCTGAAAACCAATTTGGCATTATAAAGTAAATTTAAACCTTTGACTACTTGTAGAAATCTATCCTTAATACATATATGCTAGACAACTGTGTGCTTTGCCCCAGAACATGTGGCTATAGTAGCAATGTTTATAAATGCAGAAAACCATGGGCAACACCTATAAAGACATTTTATTCATATATTCATACCATAGAATACCGCACAGAAAATGGACAGATGTAAAAAGTTAGTCACAACATACTATTGTGATGTCCGTCCTTTCACAGAGGGTTTCAAAACACATGGAAACCAATCAACTATCAAGACAATAAAAGATGCTTACTGGAAACATCAGACAACAGCTTAACTCTGGAGACTGGGATAACTGTTGTGGAAAGACCTGCACAGCTGGCTCCTGGGGTCCTATCTACAGCCCACCTCTTCACGTGGGCAGTGTGAGCGTGAATTAGAATGCAGCGATCAGGCCGGCAGGGGGAGCTCTCAACCAACCCCACCAGGCGCTTTCACTGGCAAACTCAACAGAAGACAGGGGGGCTCTACTAGGAGCTACTACTTCGCTAGCCCTGCAACAGCCCAGCCAATGAGAAGCCACCATACTTCCAACGCCCACTTTGCCCCCACGAGCGTTAACAGCCCTTTCTAAGCTTGCCTGGACTGCAATGCTCCTGCTATTCCAGAACTGAACCCAAATAAACCCACTTGTGGTGGGAAAATAGCCGTCTTACTTTTTAAGGTTAACAGTAACAATTACAAGTAGTAATTTTACAGCTGGTTACTTAACTGCACATGTCTCTTCAGGCATGTCTTACTTCAAAATCTGGAAGACCACGGTAAGTGGGACCGTCCCAAGAACAAAAATACGAAATTTTAATGCAGAGTCGGGCGAGGGCCCAGATGCAGAGAAACACAGCACTGACCCGAACCGGAATCGCCACGGCAGCCGCGGGGAGGAGCGTGGCACCGCAGTCTTCAGCCCCGGCGACAGCTATGTTGAATCTCAGAGCAGCCGGCGCAGCCTGTCGCTCCTCCCGTCACCTCAGGGAGGCCCAGCATCCAAAGCTTCCGACCGCTGGAGAGAACCAACTTTACAAGATGTCGCTGAAGGCCAACGCCGGAAGGCCCGCCCAGATGCGGTGCTTAGGACGGAAGTGCCTCTCCTGAGCCCTCATTGGCCCAGTAAAGGGGACGCACGGCGCACTGCCTTCCGGGTAATGTAGTTCTGACGGAGCCAGAGGGTCCACGAGGGTCTCCATTCCTGACCTCAGGAACTGCCCAGCCACACCAAGAAAGGCGCTGGGTAGGGATGGCTGCAGGTTTTGAGGAAGGGGCGGGGCTCCAGCTTGTTGGGTCACACCCAGATTTCCATGGAATGTAGTCTGTGCTGACCACACAAATGTACTGAGAAATACGTATGATTTCAGATGTTCCCCCAAACTACAAATGGTTACTCAGACACAAAGTGCATCCACCCACAGCTGAGATCTAAAACAGTCTTACTGCTTTTCAGGTACACGTTAGACTGAAACTTCAGAATCAACTGGAGTTTTTCTATTAGAAACAAGGTAGAGGGGCTCAGTCTGTTAAGCATCTGACTTTGGCTCAGGTCATGATGACCTCAGGGTCCTGGGATCAGCTTGCCTCCAGCTCCCAGCTCCCAAGGAAGTCTGCTTGACCCTCTCTCCCTCCTCCCACCTGTGCTCTCAAATAAATCTTAAAAAAAAAAAAAAGCTAATAATTATATCCAACCCTTACATTCTTTCTTGGATCCTAAGACCGATAAGAGTGGGGCACCTGGGTGGCTCAGTCGTTAAGCGTCTGCCTTCGGCCCGGGTCATGATCCCGGGGTCCTGGGATCGAGCCCCACATCAGGCTCTCTGCTCAGCAGGGAGTCTGCTTCTCCCTCTCCCTCTGCCTGCCACTCCCCCTGTTGTGCTCTGTCAAAAATAAAAAAAATTAAAAAAAAAAAGTGACTTACCACATGGGGAAAGGGGGCTTATGAACACTGAGGCACAGAAAAAGATGAGGAGAAACTGGACACCTCACACACAGCAGTAATGTAAAATGGTACCAGCATTATGAAAACAGTTCCTCAAAAAAAATGACCAGATTACCATATGGTCCAGCAATTCTACTTTTGGGGGATATATGCAAAAATAGTTGGAAAGCAAGGTGCTGAAGAAATGAAAGTAAGGTCTGAAAGAAATATTTGTATAAGCGTGCCCATAGCAGTATTCATAATACCCAAAAGAGGTAGAAACAACTCATGGTCCATGGACAGATGAATGGATAAAGAAAACGTGCCATACACATACAATGAGATACTATTCAACCTTAAAGAGAAGGAAATTCAGACAGATTACCACACAACATACAGCATGGATGAACCTTGACGAGGATAGTATGCTATATGAAATAGAACAGTGGGTTTCAAGGGACTGAGGGAAAGGGAAAACGGCGAGTTGGGTAATGGATTTAAGTTTAACAAGATGAAAAGTTACAGATATCCATTGTAGGTGAATGTACTTAACATTCCTGAACCGTACCCTTAAAAACAAGATGGCAAATTTCATGTGATGTGTATTTTACCACAACTTTTAAAACAAAACTATGTACTAGTTTTTTTTCCAATGCTAATTTAGAACACACTTTTGGCTGACATCTTTCCCCATCTGCTCTACTCACAGTTCATTCTTTCCCAGATGCTGAATGAGTTGGGAGTCTTGGCTAAAGAATTTCCCACATTCCCTGCACACACGCCTTGCTTAATGAGATTTGTTTGTACCTAAATACTTCCCCACTTTAGCTGCACTTGTAAAGTTTCCTCCAGCCTGCATTTTCTGGTGACCGATGAAGCAAGACTTTCTAACAAAGGCCTTGCTATATGCTGAACTCATAAAACCTCAGCCTGGTGTGTTCTTCGGTGTTAAGTCAAGATTTTTGTGTAAAGAATTCCCCGCATTTTCTGATGCTGAAGGAGGTGGGACTTTCTTTCTTTTTTTTCAAGATTTTATTTGACAGAGAGACACAGCAAGAGAGGGAACATAAGCAGGGGGAGTGGAAGAGGGAGAAGCAGGCTTCCTGTGCAGCAGGGAGCCCGATGCGGGGCTTGATCCCAGGACCCTGGGACCATGACCTGAGCCGAAGGCAGACGCTTAACGACTGAGCCACCCAGGCGCCCCAGGAGGTGGGACTTTCTGACGAAGGCCTTCCCACATTCACAGCACAAACAAGGCCTTTCTCCAATGTGACTGCTCTGCTGTTTAAGGAGACTGGAGTTGTGTGTGAAACACTTCCTGCATTCACTGCACTCTTTCTACGCTATGAACTTCCTGGTGGCTAGTTAAGTGTGGAGTTGTACCTAAAGATTTTCCCACATTGGCTGCATTTAAAAACCCTTTCTTTACTGTGATTGCTGAAATGTTTACTGAGGTTAGAGTTGTACCTAAAAAAATGTCCCACTTTCGCTACACTCTAAGGCCCTTCTGCAGTGTGGACTTTCTGGGACTCTACAAGCATGTCCTATGGCTGAACGCTTTCCCATACCTGCTGCACTTACAACCATTTTGTCCACTTTCAAAGGCCTCTCCACTCCGTGTCCCTGTGTGGCTTCAACCCACTGAGAGTGGCTGGGCGGGGTGGGGAGAAAGACTGTGAAGTCCTCTCCACCCTCCCTCCATACCAAGGTCTTCTCTGCCATATAAGCTACGTGGTCCAAATGAAGGGCTCCCCTTTCCTTTAGGGAAAGTTTATCTCTATTCTGCTGCTTCTGATGCTGCTGCAGGTTTGCCCCACAAATGTGCAGACCTCGCTCAGGGTGTGTTCCATCACGCTCAGCCAAGCGCAAAAGGTCTTTCCAGAGCAGCCGCACATCTCCCAGGGCTGGGACTTCTGGATGGATGGGCCTGGCTTTGGAGTCCTGACCTGTGACCCTCCTACAGAAACCTCTTGCTCTGAAGGGGCCTCCTCATCCTGGGCTCCATGCCAGCAACCTGTAAGCAGAGAAATGCCAGTAAAGTGCCTGCTGACTTCGTTGGGAGGAGGCGGCCCCATCGGGAATGTGTGCCAGACACACTCACGGAGGAGGCCACGAGACTGCTGACGGGCGAGGGGGACTCGAGACAGTGAGAGGAAGGCCTGCTGTGCAGAGCTCAGCCTGGCAAGCTCCCGTGACGGGAGAGCCCTGACTCCGGGGAAGGACCCGAGGAATGGGGAAGTGCAGGGAGGAGAGGTGGGCTCCCCAACTCCCTCCTCTGCAAATGACTTTCAACAAGGCCAGAGCTGCTGGTGACCGGTAGCACCGACACAAGCTGGGTCCAGATGCAGAAATGTGTGATTACAACACAGTAGCGGGTGTTCAGAGACTATTTAAAGATATGTGCAGCCCTCCAAGGAAGCAGTGGAAGGGAAAAGATGAGAGCCCAATGTCAGAGTGGAAATATTAGTGGGAAAGAAAAGGTAAAAATGAGGTGTGGCCACTATCCTAGGCATCACACGATGGTGGACATGGGACAGATGCTCCGTGTGAGGGCCACATTCTTTTGAGCCTCTCTTGATGTTGCAGAAGTAATGTCCAACCTGTCAGGTACACGGGGCCCTCCTATTGCTCAATGTGAGCAACCACCTGGGCCTGAAGAGGCCAGTCCTTTGGGAAAGACAGGGAAAGGGAGTAGCCAAGACCCACCCAGAGTGACCTACCTCACCTCGACATCCCACATTCTAAATTTACAACGCCTTCAGAGGAATGTCTCTAAAAAAAACAGACCAAACAGTCTCTACAAGTGGTGACCAGATCAGTGCCTGAAGTTACTGGGACAGGCAGTCCTAAAAGTATATTAGCAAGAGGGATGGGAAGGCCTGGGGCACAGAGGTCCCAAGCATGGAGAGAGAGGCACCCGACCATGGAACGGCACCGAAACCCCCAGACCCACACAGGAGGCGTTTCTTTGGCCTTCTAACGTGCCAGTCTGCACACAGAGCCCAGGGGGTACACTGCAAATGCAACCAGCATCCTCATCTGCCCCAGTCCTGCATCAGAACACCAAAGTCCCCTGGCATGAGAGAATGGCTCTCATTTTCAGGTAGCCCCAACTCTGTTTCTTGCTTTAGCTCAGCCGCAGAGACCTGTGTGAGGATCTAGCTCATAAGCAAGCTTGACCTTCTCTCACCACCCGACCCTTGTTCAAAGCCCTACACTAGCAATGCTTCTGGCTGATCCCATTTCCCTCAACTACTCTACCAGCCTGAATGAAACAATCCCAGCAAGAGTCACCAGGAAACCTTGCTGCATCCACTGAGGGGTGATGGGCCCCGTCCTGCCCCAGTACCTGGCCTTCATTGGAGAGGCACCTCAGCATCCGGCTTATGTCCACTCAGAAGGCTTTACGACTTCCACATGCATCACATTCACATCATATGCACACACCCCCAACACGACTGTCCAGGTGCCCCCCTGAGACACAGACTTAGCCCCCTCCTTCCCTTGCCTTGTCCCTAATGGTGCTACCACCATAATATAAAGATGCCTCCTATGAAATCAGACCCACAGCTTTACTGGGGTCCACATGCCAAGTACCATACTGTGGTTGTCTCCAATCTGAAGGCCTCCACCACTGAACTCCAGATCTGTGGGTCTAACAGCCAACTGGACACATCCACTCAAAAGTCTCTGGAACATTTCTGACGTAGCCAAGAATGGATTATTCACATTGCCTCTGAAAATCCCTTCTACCACTGACTTCCCACATCCTAATTGATGGAATATCCATTCTTCCAAATAAGGCCCAAAACAACGGGCCTGTTCCTCACTCCCCGTTTCCATGTCATCTCCCAGCTCCCTCTCTCTCCACATCAGAAAATGTTCTGCACTCTGTGCAGAACACATCCAGAAGGCAACTCCCTCCTGTCTGGCCACTACCAGCAGTCACTTGCTGGAGTGTCTATCTATAGACCCCCAGTCTATCCACCACTCTGTAGCCACGGGAATCTGTTAAAATCTGGATCAGATCACCTCTCTCCTCAGCTCCAAACCTTCCCTAGGTCCCACTGTCCTCAGATTTGAGGCCTAGAACTTAAGGCTGTCATTCTAGGCCTGATTTCTGTGTGCCCTGACCTCTCACCCCACCACCTCGCCACCACGCTCCCTATCCCATCAGGTATAATAGGAATGGGAAGCTTCCTAAACAACCCCTGCAGGCATCTGAACACTCTGGATCTGTGCCCAGGATGCATGTTACAGCTTACCCAGTCGGTTGTCAGCAATGCAACTGACCCACGGAACCCAGGCTGAGTTCAGGACCCTGGGCTTTGTGGAACCACAGGATTGTCAGTCCTGAAAGAGAGAGAAGAACAGATGAAGATTCTCAGAACATCACCATTCCCTATATTGGGTCGCCTTAACCACAGGGTGAAAATTAGGGTGGGTGAGAGCCTGGGACACCCTCTATTCATTGTTGCAGGGTCCAGAAGCATTTCTGCCACCACCATGGGACCCTGTGGAAGGAGGGAAGCCATGAGAAATGGGAACCATGGTAGGATCCTATAAAGTGAGCTGAACCACGGTCCAAACTGAGCTCCTCAGGCCTTAGTGCTGCTTCTTACTAGCTGTATGACTCTGGAAAGACTGAACCTTCCTGAGCGTCAGTGCCCTTATTCCATAAAATGGGAAGAAGACGGTTTTCCACCTCAGAGGGCTGATACTGATACTGCACCTACGAAGTAGACACTATGTCTCAGCTATCACTGTCCACATCATCAATGGTTTTGTCTATGTTTTCAGTGCAAGTGAAGTGGTAGGGCTTTAAAAATTTGATTGTGGGGTGTTATACGCAAACAATGAATCATGGAACACTACATCAAAACTAATGGTGTAATGTATGGTGATTAACATAACAATAAAAAATTTAAAAAAATAAAAATTTGATTGTGTATTCCTCTGACTTTTCAAAGGTTTAAGAGGATGTAATACACAAAACTTTTATCATAACCCGATACTTAAAGGTAAGTTAACATTTAAACCATTCATTAAGTATTTGGATAAATTTAAGTAATTCAGTGCGTTCATTTCTAATTGCCTGCCTATGTGTACGTATTTGGAGGGTGGTTGCTTCATTAGTGTTCAAAGGGAGGCACTGAGCCCTACTAGTCTTGTACTATAATCATCTGAAGACAGCATGCAGGGAGCCCTTGACTGGACAGTGGGTGGGAGGTGAGGCAGCGGTGCCCTGGTCGGGGACCCAGCTGCTCCACTAACCCAGCTGACCTTTGCCTTGTTCCATAGGGAGTGGTCTTGAAAGTCTGCTTAGTCTACAAGGCGGAGAAGCTACACCAACTCACACCTCAGTTTCCATTCCAGGCCAGCGCCTTACCTTACCTGGACCTCCCTTTCTACATACACAGGCCAGAATTCATCCTACACCAGGACTGCTCCTTTCTGAAAAAGCATCAGGGATACATGCCCACCTGTGCCCTGCCCTCTGGTCTCAGCCCCCACCCCCCGAACCTCACTGCAAAGCCCATCTGAAAGAACAATCTTTTTTTTTTTTTTTTTAAGATTTTATGTATTTATTTGACAGAGAGACACAGCGAGAGAGGGAACACAAGCAGGGGGAGTGGGAAAGGGAGAAGCAGGCTTCCTGCCGAGGAGGGAGCCTGATGCGGGGCTTGATCCCAGGACCCTGGGATCATGACCTGAGCCAAAGGCAGTCATTTAACCAACTGAGCCACCCAGGTGCCCCCTGAAAGAACAATCTTAAGAGTCTCCTTCTTGGGATGCCTGGGTGGCTCAACAGGCAACCTGCTTCTCCCCTGCCTGCTGCTCCCCCTGCTTGTGCTTACTCTCTCTCTCTCTGGCAAATAAATAATATCTTAAAAACAAAAACAAAAAAAACCTTCAAATCTGGATATGCCCCTAAATTAGGTCCCTGGAACCAATTCCAAGAAGTGTGTGTGTGTGTAGACAGAGGGAGACAGAGAGAGTCTTAAACAGACTCTGCTAAGCTCACAGCCTGAGGTGGGACTCGATCTCATGACCCTGAGATCACAACCTGAGCTGAAACCGAGAGTCGGAGGCTTAACCGACTGTGCCACCCGGGTGCCCCAACACAAGGCAATTCTTAAAAACCAGCAAGATGTCCAAGCTTTCAATTCAATTCTGACACTATCAGGAAGCAGCATCAGATTCACAGGTTAAGTCAGTCCTAAAAGAGTGCACTCCCACCTTCAACACCCTGCCATTTCAGATGCCATTTGCAAGCCAGGCTGTTACTTGTGCTTCTCACTGGTTAAAAAGCAGAGGTTCTTAAGACCCTCTCCTCATGTTTAAGTGATCTGCTGGAATGGCTCACAAAACTCAGAAAAACATTTTTCTTGCTTAATTACCAGTTCATTATAAGAGGATATAACCTGGGAATAGCCAGACGGAAGAGATGCATATGGCCGGGTATGAAGACAGGGTGCAGAGTGTCCAAGCTCCCCCCAGGTGCACCACTCTCCTCAAATCTCCGTGTTCACCAACCTGAAAGCTCTCTGAACCCTGTCCTTTAGGGTATTTACGGAGACTGCATTATTACACAGCATGGTAGATTAAATCATTGGCTGCTGGCTATTGGTTCAACCTCCAGCCCATCTCCCTTACCCCAACGTGGGGGAAATGGGAAATGGGAGGGGAGGAACGAAAATTTCCAACTGTCTAATCACATGGTTGGTCCCCCCCCTCCCCACAACCGCCGCCCGCAATCAGCTTAGGTGCTTCCAAAGTCACCTCATTCAGTTGCAAAAGACAACTTTTTTTTTTTTAAGGTTTTCCTTCTTTTTTTTTTTAAAGATTTTATTTATTTATTTGAGACAGAGAATGAGAGAGAGAGAGCACATGAGAGGGGGGAGGGTCAGAGGGAGAAGCAGACTCCCCGCTGAGCGGGGAGCCCGATGTGGGACTCGATCCCGGGACTCCAGGATCATGACCTGCGCCGAAGGCAGTCGCTTAACCAACTGAGCCACCCAGGCGCCCGCAAAAGACAACTTTA